GATGCTTTCTATAGTATTTTGCAGAATATTACAGTATTTGAGACTGGAACCCCTTCCTCCCCTCTCTCAATATACAAATATTGCTATTAAGTAAACAAAAAACTCCTTAGATGGGAGAGTTCCCATATCCTGAGCACTGGAGACTTGTGTGGGCATGAGTCTCCACCAGAGATTAATTTGGGCTACTTACAGAGCCCTTCCCCTATTTGTGGCACACCAGGGATTCTCCAGACAAAAACAAAGACACAACAAGGTTCTTTCCTCTCCCAGGCAAAAGGAGACCAAGCATAAAAGACAAAGATGATCAGTCTTTTCAGCAGGTTTTTTCACTGGGCTTCAGCTTATCTACAGGTTCTAATTTCTTTGATCCAGTTCAGGGTCTGCCTCCACCCACTTCTTTTGGTCCCACCACTTCATTCCTCATCCATACAGTCTTAGGGAAAACAAGACCTGCAACTATCTTCCTTTTTGCTGCTTTGTCCCTGTAGCTAGCAGTCCTTCCCCTGAACACCACACCTTTCTGTGGCAGGCTTTTCCTTTCCAAGCCTCCCTAGGCAGAGCAAGCCTTACAGGTGTGTCTGGTTAGTGCTGTCTAAGATTGAGCCCATAAGAGATCATTAACCTCCTTGCTTCTAAAGCATGGGTGTGCCCCCTCACAGCCCTGTATGGAATCTTAAACAGTCCAGTGCTTGACTGCTTGTGTTTATATATTGCAGAATAGGATTGTTTAGTGACATTGTCACAAACAGGCATTCAGCCAGGGGAGAGGGAGAGGATTTTGTGCTGTGTTTGGATTTATTTTTGTAAGAATGCAAGAGGCTCACTATCTCAATGGCTGGGCAAGCATTGCCAAACCTTCCCTTTAGTCACCTCCGAACAGCCATAGAGGGTTGCTGATTGTCCACCTCTTCTTGTGACTCAGCCCTTCTGGTGCAAGCCAAGAGACCAAACAAACAACAACAGTCTGCCAGCCTCACATCTTCAGCCTCACTCCAAACACACTAGTTCCTTTCCCTTGGATCAGACACCGGGCTCCACGCAGCATTCAAAGCGGCAGTGCTGCATACAGCCCACGATCAGCTGGGCTTCCCGTGGAGCTGCCACTTTGAACTAACCCCCCCCCCCACCATACCCCTCTCCTTGCTGCCTCTATCTGATAGAGGTGGGGGGAAGTGACTAGTTGACTAACCTGTCATTTAGCCAATAAGCATTTGCTTATTGGATAGTCGACTAGTCCTTCACGTCCCTAGTCCATCTAGCCCAGCATCCTGTCTGTTGACAGTGTCCAATACCAGATGCCCAGAAGGAGGGAACACAACAGGTAATCCTCACATGATCCCTCTCCTGTCACCCATTTCCAGACAACATTTCTCCTATTATCCCATAGCCTCTGAGGAGCCATGGCAAACCAAACAGCATGTACTGCACAGACCAAAACCCAATGTACACATCACTTACCAGCTCTGAAGTTCCTCCAAGCCTGGGAAGAATTTCAAGGAGATAGGCTATGACAGCATTTTCTATGAATTTGTGACTATCTGGAATATAAACAATAATTGTGTTTTTTCATATTCCCTTCCCACAGCTGCAACAGGGCCTCTATCAGCAGCCAAGTAGATGGCCAGCCTGAGGGGATGAAAATGGAGAACTCAGGATGCAATGTCTGTGGACCTCATCATAGACTCCCAATGAAAAATCAAAATAGCTGGTCAGTGAAGGCAGTATTTGCAGATGAAGAAGGAAAAATTCAGGGAGATCTCCCAAGAGAACATGGCAGTAGCCAGAGAGAAAGGAGGTTGCCAGGAAAAGCATTGCCATGAGCAGAGAGCATGGAAAGACAGGAAGATAGAGGCAACTCATGGATGCAATACTAAGCCAGAATACTGTGCCACAAAGCATGCTGTTGGTAGGGCAGCAAGCACTGCAGTCCTGTCAGCCAGGACCCAACCATGTTCTTCAGCCCTTGAGCAATAAAAGCTACTGAAAACACCAGCAATTCCTCCCTACTGTACCCCCACAGCAGTGCTCCTAGGGGCTATTTTCTTCACAGAGCCAACCTCTGGGCAAAGAAAAAAGTTTCACCTGGGAGCCCAGCTCTGAGCCTTTCAACACCACATGTAGCTTCAAGCCACACCACTCAACCCCAGAAGGACCCAAAACAAGAAGGGGCAGTGTAAAGGTATGTAGTCACCTGTAACTTTAAATCCATTTCTTCCCATACTTTTGTTCTGCACTGTTGCGCTTTCAGTTTTGGCTTCACTGTTTAATTAAAGGTTTCTTTACCATTGTTAATTAATACATTATTTTAAAATATATTGTTTCTTACTAAAATTGTTTTGTTATTGGATCAATTGAAATTTTTTGTTACATAATTGCTGGTTAATAACTATGTTAAACTCATTCATAATGAGTCATTGCTGTATTAAACACAGAAAACCCTTAAAAATGAAATACATCAGGATTTCACAAAACTATGTAGGTAGAGAAAACACTGTAAAACAAACATTACCACAATGTTCCACTTCCACGACCCATAAATTAGAGTACCCTGTTCACGTTCTATCCCAGCCTCATTAATACTGGATGGACAGCTGCATGTTTTCAGGCCTGAGACTCCCGATAAGAATAATAGATATCCCTGGTACTATTGTCCTGGCTGTTTCCATTTCCTATGGGAAGCTTTGCTGTTTGCTTGAACTTCTGAGCAGTCATCAGTCCCTCAGCCTCCCACCCATCACAGAATCCCAATGAAAAATCAAAATAGCTTTTGGACTTTCTCTTTACTCTTGAAAATATTGTGCAGAATACCGCATGCTGCTATTATAGGCTATGTCTAGATATACTATAAGCTATGTCTAAAGCCCGCCATGTCCAAGGAACGCGTTTGCTCTTCCGTGAAAAAAAACGGAAGAGCAAACGTGCTCTTTCGGGGAGCTCTGTATACCTCGTTTCATGAGGCATAAGGGCTCCGCCAAAAGAGGAGGCTTTCCCGCCATTTGGTCCCATCTAAACAAATGGCGGAAAAGCCTCTTTCGAAAAAGAAGCAGAAAAAGCTACGCAAAATGCAGAGTGCATTTTGCATAGCTTTTCCCACAAATATGCCACAGTCTAGACCTAGCCATAGTTGGAATGAATTTTTTTCCTGCTGTGTGCAACCTATTCCATAAACAGCATCGCCTTCCTTTCTCGGCTGCCATTGTGCAACTGCTGAATTGGCAGCTAAAAATGTCCTTCCTTCTGCCCAACCATCCTGTGAATGGCTTCATTAACCAGGGAATCAGAAAGATAAGACAGGTCACCTGAGATCATTGGTTCAACCTCTACACCTTTAATATCTGGAGTGGGGACAAACAGTCCTTTCTCCATGAATGTAACCAGCACTGAGTCACAGAAGATCCTATGATTGTGGGCGCTTCCAGGCTACCCTGCATTATGTCCATAAATGTGCCACAGGGTGAACCAACCCTGGGAGCATCATGGAGAAATACCCATTTCTGTTTATCAATTCTGCACCTTGGTGGGGAAAATGAGGTAAATTATCGGAACATGCCCAATATAGTTTGGGAACCCTATGCTTGCAAAACCATTAATAATCTCTGGTTACCAAGCTTTTAAACCCAGTGCCACAGTACCTTTTCCATGGCATGACACACCTGCATGACAGTGGCCCCAACTGTTGATCTCCCTGTGCCAGGTTGGTTGTCTATATGCAGTGATTGCAATTTTACAGATGACAGGGGTGACTCATTTCTCCATGGTCTTGTGCAACAACTGCAGATCCCTCCATTTGCTCCCCTGCTTCATGAGGTCTCATTTCACAGGCACCATCCTCCCCACTGAGAATGGCAAGGGATTCCCTTTATCATCCATAAAACTTGCCGCTGGGCCATATGAAACAATTCTTCCCCCAAAGCTCTGTCACTAAAGGTACGTCTAGACTACATGCCTCTGTCACCAGAGGCATGTAGATTAGGCTACCCGACACAGTAAAATGAATCGCTGCTTCATTTAAATTTACATGGCTGCCACGCTGAGCCGACTACAAGCCTGATCCAAAGGCCAATGAAATCTGTGGGAGATAGACAAACAAAAATGGAGGGCGCAGTAATCTCCTAAGTATTGACATGAGGGTGCCTGTAATGGAAGAGTTTGGTGAGAGCACAAATGCACAGTATCCATCCACCTGCTACTGCCAATATGTGAGTTGGGAAGTAGCAAACATTTTCCATCATTATCATAATGCCTCTGACCTTTTCTCCTTGTCTCCCAGAGAGGCCACTTTGAGTATGCCAATAAATTAAAACAACTATTCCCATCAAGGGAAAATGTGATCAGGATTCATGCCTTTACTCTCCCCTATCTCTTCTATCTTCTTAGTAGCTTATCTTTAGAGGCAGTCAAATTATTAATTGCCAAGCATATGCCTAACAAATGTAGGGCGTTTGCTGCTTGCAAATCATTTAGGACTCAATCCTGATTTTAGGAAATGTATTGTTATTGATGACTATGCACTGGATTGTTTGGATGGACAGTTTTCACCCTATGAGTTGCTGAAGAACCATTAATCTTAGTTGTTTCCTATCCGATATTCATGCTGTATGCTTGGCCATCTACATCACATGGTATTGTCTCTGCTACCTAATTAGATGAACGAAATATTTTAAACAGAAAAATATGAAAAAGCAAATACAGAATAAGGTGCTTGTGATACAAATCTTCAGAGATGAAGGATTGCTCATACTAGAATGGATGAAATAGTCAGGATCCAAGAACATTTTCATTAATACCTGTCATCCAAATAGCCATGCAAACCAAATAACATGACCACGGTGAACAGCCGTGGAGTGAAGTCAGGCTATTTGTTTGCAAATCCATTTTTCACTGTTCGACACGGTTTACACTTTCCCATGTGGGGTTCTGGCATCAGCGAGTTAAAGGAAGTCATGGAGGGGGGGCGGAAAGGGGAGTGTTTCTTTTAAAAAAGAGAGAGAGATTGAGAGGAGAACACAGGCTTTCAAATACCCTGTCTGTGCTTGGTATATTAGGCAGCCCGTGCTCTTGGCTGGGAGCCCAGACAAGGCTTTTGTAATCAAAACATGATCTTGTATGCTGTGCAACCAGTGCTGAGAAAGGCCGTCTGATGGCTCTCCTCTTTTAGCTCTGCTTTGGAATCCACCAGCCTTCAACGCCCAAGTCCAAAATGCAGCGATCTGTGAGTGCTGCCTTTGTTGTTACTGGGAGGGGATGGGGGGGATTCATTTCTCTTTTTTTAAAAAGCCAAGAAGTGATTTGCGCTCACTCTCTTTTTGTTGTTGTTTTGGGGGGTTGTTTGTTGCCGGCAGCTGTGTATCTAAGAGGCGTGCGAGGGCGGGGAGGAGATTTCATATGCCGGATTTCATGTACCGATCACGGGGGCACTTTGCTATTGCTGGCTCAGGATGATGTTCTTATCCAGGAGGGTGGGGAGCATTGGGAGGAAAAATCCTATAAAGGCAGGTAACACTTGGCGTTACTCATCCTGGAACTGGGAGTTGTGCGGTGAGAGAGGGGGGCTTTCAGTTACAGCTGTCTGATAAGAAGCAAAGAACATAATGAGCTTGTGCATTGGATTTCATAAAGAAATGCTAATTTAGGGCCCTGCCCCTCTCTCGTTTTCCCTTCCCCCACCTTCTCTCTGTCTGAAGTCTCTCACTTCAGAAACAGCTGACTGTGAACGTCTGCAGGGAAAGATGCAAACAGAAAGGTGATTCCTGACACCAGGGGTGCTCTCAAGCACTGATGGGCTGCACAATGGCGGGGGGGAATGTTAAGAGTGGGGGGACAGAATGAGACATCGCCATATAATTGAACCACATTACTTCTTGCTTCCCCCGCCTTTTGTTACATTTAAATTTTTAATACAAGGGCGTCTTTCTGTATGGCGCTCGCTCTGTCTTTGCGGCATCAGGCTTTGCTTTCTGATTCATAGCACATTGCACATTTGTTCTGCCAAAGCCATTTACCTGCTATAGTCACTGACATACGGGTGCCTTGGTTCCCCAGAATAGCTTTATTCTGGGTAGGGTGAAGTGTAGCCACTTTTCATCCTAAGTGGCAGTGCAGCCAGCATTCTTTCCAGCAGCTCAGGAATGGGCACATACCCTTGTGATCAACCGGCTCAGAGCAGCAGCTAGTAAAAAAACGCTGACCACGCTTGGACGTACAATCAGAGCTCCCCAGAGAATCAGTGTCAGGGCTCAAAATGCTGCTCTGCGTTTCTGTGGACAAGCTGTTTTTGTTTGGTTGCTATGTTTTTCTGAGTGGGGTGAGTATGGATTTCCATTTGCTTTCCCCAAGTATTTTGATTAAACTAAGCCCACGACCACCCAAAAAGAGGCTGAATAGCAGCAAACCTTCTAGTGGGAACATCTATCAGACTGGAATAATCTCCCTAGAGAAAGGGGGGAAGCCTCGTTGCAATATTCATTTCAAACTGGATAAAACACTGATAAATACACAATAGGGAACAATCTTGCACTAACAGGGGACGAATTAGATGACCTAACAGGTCTTTTGCATTTCTAACTTGCGTCCTTAAAAAAAACCCTCTGGCTTTGCAATGGTTTTACTGGAATGTGGCTCTGCCATTCTCCATGTACATGAATTTAAAAATTAAAGGTGTATATTTCCACACACAATACTCTGATCCCACCCTGAAAAGGACAACACGCCTACCCTTCTGCAAACACGTACTCTGCCAACTCAGCACACTCAGAACAGTCTGTTAATCTGACAATTGAATTCAGATTAAATCAGTCTTGCAAAATTGTCATAAAATGTACCTTCCTGAGTACAAAATCTGCTCACCTGCCACTGGATGATTGATGATAATGAAGAAAGAGTATTTCATTCACCTGCAAAAATAAAAACAATTAAAAATGGCCCTGAGATGGTGTGGACTAGGCCCTGAAGTCCCCTTTTCGAGGCTTTGTGGCCCTGCCACATCCTGCCCCACAAAAGGGCAGTAGAGAGGTCCTCCCACTACCTAGAGTGGCTATGTAATTAGGGCCCAGCAGACTAGTATAAGATGAGCTGCAAGGCTAGTGCAAGTTCAGTTTCGTGCTAGAGCTGGGGGCATCACTTCTACTTCTGGGGAGAAGGGTGACCTTGCCCCTCCCCTTCCCTGGAGCAGTGAGGCTGAAGCCACCCTGCCCATGGCCTCCCTGAAGCTGCTGACAAGTGCAGGAGTAAGAGCATGGTGCCAGCTCACAGGGGGACAAACAGGGCTGCGGGGCTGTGCCCCCCTGCACCTGCCAGCAGCCCTGGAAGCAGATGCAGTGCTGCTTCCGGGGGGCGCTGGAATGGTCCCATCCTTCCCCTGGAGCAGTGTGGCCAGAGAGCAGTGCTGCACAACCTGTGACTTCCCCACAGCTGGTGATAAGTATGGGGGAGGGGAGGAGTGCACTGTGCAGACCAATGGTGCCAACCCCACAGCCCTGTCAGTCTCCTGGGAGTAAAGCAAGGGTGGGGTGGGGGAAAACAAAGGGGCAGAGCAGGGGTAGGGAGGTGCAGGGTCTGGAGTGGAAATGGGTTGTCCTGGTTCTTCCCCAGGTGTGCATGGGGGGACCACATGGCCAATGCACCCTCTCCCTCCCCTGTCACCAATTGCTGCTGGATGGTGCTGTGAACTGGCTGCTGGACTCTTATCAGGATAAGACTCTGAGGTAATGGTAAAAAATGTGCCAGTGTCACAGGGAAGTAACCCAGGGAATTATAACAGTGACAGTTTATTTAAAGGACATGGCAAATGGCTGCAATCTGTAAGGTCCTTGGGCTAGGATCTGGAGTAAAACGAGGGCCTGGGTCCCCCCACCAGCCACTGGGAAAGTGGCATGAGGGGAACTGAATTCTTTGAGCGGTCCATCTGAAGAGCTGTGGCCAGAAAATCTCAGGGAAGTGAAGAGCCTCCAGGGAGAGAGCGTTAGGGAACGTGACTCCACACCAAGGCTGGGACTGCTTGAAGAACAGGGACAATGTGAGAGAGTGCTGGAGCAGCTGAGACAGCTCAAACTAGGGTACTGCGATAGGCCCCGCTGGACTGATTGAGGAGTGAGACCAGAGGTAGGATTTAGGATCAAGGGACCTTTGAGGGAGTTGAGATAGGGCCCTGTTAGATGTAGTAGAAGAAGTTGGATTTTTATCACACATACAGACTGTGGGACTTGGCCGGGGAACTGTGTCATAGAAGACCTACTCCAGAGTGGGAAAATCTTAAAAAAACCAATGAGCTTTCGTGAGTATAACCCACTTCTTCAGATGACTGGAGCATTAAAAGTCTAGATCCAAGAATAAATAAGGGAAAAGGGAGGGGAGAGAAAGGAAGGGGGAAAAATGTGAATTAGAGTGTTCAGGTTACAAGAAGCTGATAAGAACAATTCAGAAAGAGAGAGTGCAGGCACATGCGTGGAGATAAAAGGTTCTCTCAGAGGTGAGAGCACCGCATTATGAGCCCATTAAGAGATTTTGCAAGACTGGCTTGCAAATTGTGGGCCTTTATGAAGGACTGTTACAGCACCATTGAAAAATATGACTATTAGTGGAGTTCATAGTCACTAAAGTCATGAATGAAAATATGTTTAAAAAGATTAGGAGGTGTATCTTAGCAAACCACTTTGCTAACCCTGTTAATTTAAATGTGCACCCTTTCCTAATTTCTAGGGCTCAGGGTGTAACTTTTTGCAGGTTTGCAGGAACTTTTATCAGTGAAAGAGCCTTAGACTGTAATATCCTTACTCTCTATTTATTAACAAGTATCAAACAGGCAGACTACACATGCTAAACATACAATGCCATGCTCATCAATCCTGATGAAGGCAGGCAAACTTCTCGGCTACGTCTAGACTGGCATGATTTTTCCGCAAATGCTTTTAATGGAAAAGTTTTCCGTTAAAAGCATTTGCAGAAAAGAGCATCTAGATTAGCACGGACGCTTTTCCACAAAAGCACTTTTTGCGGAAAAGCGTCCGTGCCAATCTAGACGCACTTTTGCACAAAAAAGCCCTGATCGCCATTTTTGCGATCGGGGCTTTTTTGTGCAAAACAAATCTGAGCTGTCTACACTGGCCCTTTTGCACAAAAGCTCTGTGCAAAAGGACTTTTGCCCAAACGGGAGCAGCATAGTATTTCCGCAAGAAGCACTGATTTCAGACAGTAGGAAGTCAGTGTTCTTGCGGAAATTCAAGCGGCCAGTGTAGCCAGCTGGCAAGTTTTTCCACAAAAGCAGCTGCTTTTGCGGAAAAACTTGCCAGTCTAGACACAGCCCTCCTGTTGGCCAGGCAAGGTCAGTCTTGTCTGGATTCTGATTGCTGCATATCATGGTCATACAGAGGATTCTTGACAGCTCTGATATTAGGCTGTATCTTAGTGGCAGAAGTGAAAGTAATCAGGTGTGCCCTGGTGCGCAGCTCCAGCAGGAGCTGGCTGAGCTGCAGCAAAAGCCCACAGAGAGCTATTTAAAAAGCTGGCAGAGACCCGGGCTGCAATAGAACAGTACCTGTAAGAAATGTTGTTATTTTCACCACTGCTTTGAGGTGAATTCTTTCCTTTTTCTTATACTTTCTGTTCCTTCTTTTCCTTTCTTCCTTTTTTGCTGGTCTCCTGCTTGGACCCCAGTGTATATAGTGAAACTCGTGTTCTGCTTAGCTATACCTTATATTACTAACCTTTGCTAACTAATTGTAATACACTGTAACAGAATTACCTAGCCAATCATATCCCACCACCTTAGATGATGTGCAGTTAGCAAAATTAATTATGCAGCAGACAGATACAATTAAAAAACCAGACAGAGGTCATATGAGCAAACAATAGGAAATGAGGACCATAATTAAAGAATGAGGACTTCAAGCCCCAACTATTGATGTGGAGTTTCTTGCCAGATGAAATGCTATCAAATTAAGTTTTCTTTACCTATCTTGAGATCTGTTTCTTTATCTGGTGATAGTGGGCATCATTAGGACAGGGTCTCCTTCTTGACAGCCTGGGATTACTCTATTGTATGTATGTGACTTCCTGCTTCAAAGCTAATGGGTGTTGCTCTTTCAGTCTGGCTGCAGATGAAAGTCTTAGGCTTTAAGCCTTCCAATATGGTTACAGAAAAAGATTGTATCCTTCTAGGGTGAATTGGACTCAAACACACACATTACAGAGGGCAAGCAGAATCTAATGATGTAC